AACCTCATCCCGCCCCCTTGACCTGTCCGTCCTCCCTGGACTGACCTATCCCCTTCCTAACTCCCTACCTACACTCACCTTTCCTGGCCCCATCCCTGCCTCTTCGACCTGTTTGTTTCCTCTCCACCTATCCTCTCCTCTATCCCTCTTCTATCCGCCTCCCACTCTCTCCCTACTTATTTCAAAACCCCCTTCCCCTCCCCCTTTTCTGATGAAGGGTCTAGGCCCGAAACGTCAGCCTCTCTGCTCCTATGATGCTGCTTGGCCTGCTGTGTTCATCCAGCCCTGCACCGTATTCTCAAAAGGAGTTGCGTTTTCTTGGGGGAGGCGTTAAAAAGCAGCACTGCAGAACAGCAGGAAACATAGGTGCATTACTTGGTAAATGCAAGCATTTTCACAATCTTTAAGAACAAACAAGAAAAAAAGACTACTACAACAAAAGTGACTTCAAAAGCTCTGTCTGGGAGCAGCTCAGAATGGCCACATCATATTTTCTATCATGTTTGATTGGTGAGCAACAGACAGGCATTGAGAACAGTAAATGACACTGGAATCTAAACGTACCTGAGTTTATAAGATTTCAAAATCTTCCAACCCTCCCCCACATCCGGCCCCATTCTCACCCAAAGGTCTGCGCACTAGGAACGATATCTACTGGAACTGGTGCAACATATAAAAGCAGCAAACAGTCCATTTTCCATCTGTCACTAATTGATCCAGAGCTCATGCAGAGTAGTAACAAAAGAAAGATTACCCAGTGTAGTTCATGAGGGAATGAAAAAAAACTGAGTGCAAGTCAAATAAATGTGCACATCTTTAATGTAACCATTATTGGCTTAGAGTAATGAAAGTGCAACTGCTATGTTTTAAAGATGATCAAAAACAAAAGGAATTGTTTAGATTGAGCACAGCTTTCAGTGAACAGGAAAGAATGAAGAGAATACCAAGGCACCTATGGAAAATATTTAACCGTAATACATTTTAATGTCAGAGCACTAGTCAGGGAATGCAAATCATCTGCACATATTGCTTTGACTAGAATGTTTAAGGTAAATGATGAGAATTAAGAGCATACTTTTGTAGAAATATGTTGCAACACTGGATACTTTTAAAGGAATCTTGTCTCTATAGAAAATATTTTGGCATTCTGTTTTGCGCAAGTGATTCTGCTTTAAAAATTGTTGAGCACAAAGTTAGAACAGTTTTTCCTCAATTTTAAGATGTTCTAGTGAAGTTTCCTTTATGAAGGCAATATCCTTTTAATAATAGCTCTCATTAATGTAGGCATATTTACCTAGGCTTCCCATGTAAGGTAAAGTTCCAATCGTCCAAAGGCTGGACTGTTCCCTCATTAGTGGTAAGTCTGGTGGAGGTTTAACCTATGGGTCACCACGCCTCAGGCGAGAGGTAAGGCTGAGAAAGCAGAACCATCATGGTACAAGTATTGAATCTGCATTTTTGGGCTCACTCTGCACCAGCCTACTGAGCTAATCGACCCCCATGAACTGTATATTGTGTTGTAGTCCATAAGACATAGGAGTCTGCTCCGCCATTCAATCATGGCTGATAAGTTTCTCAATCCCATTCTCCCACTTTCTCCCTGTAACCATTGATCCCCTTGACAATCAAGAATCTATCTATTTCCACCTTAAATATACTCAATGACCTGGCCTCCACAGCCTTCCGTGACAATGAATTCCATAGATCCACCACTCTCTGGCTGAAGAAGTTTCTCCTTATCTCTGTTCAAAAAGGTCCCTTTACTCTAAGGCTGTGGCCTGAGGTCTCTGTCTCTCCATCCAATGGAAACATCTTCCCAACATCCACTCTGTCCAGGCCATTCAGTATTCTGTAAGTTTCAATTAGATCCACCCTCATCCTTCTAAATTCCATCAAGAATGGACCCAGAGTCCTCAAACATTCCTCATATGTTAAGCTTTTCATTCGTGGGACCATTCTCGTGAACCTCCTCTGAACCCTGCTCCCGGGCCAGTCCATCTTTCCTGAGATATGGGGCCCAAAACTGCGCACAATACTCCAAATATGTCCTGACCAGTGCTTTATAGAGCCTCAGAAGTACATCCCTGCTTTTATATTCAAGTCCTCTCAAAATAAATTTCAAAAGTGCATTTGCCTTCCTACCTACTGACTCAACCTGCAAGTTTACCTTAAGAGAATCCTGGACTAGAACTCCCAAGTCACTTTGCACTTCAGACTTCTGAATTTTCTCCCCATTTAGAAAATAGTCCATGCTTCTATTCTTCTTATCAAAGTGCATGACCTCACACTTTCCCACGTTGTACTTTATCTGTCACTTCTTTGCCCACTCTCCTAACCTGTCCAAATCCTTCTGCAGCCTCCCTACCTCCTCAATACTATCTGTCCCTCTACCTATCTTTGTATCGTCTGCAAACTTAGCCAGAATGCCCTCAATTCCTTCATCTAGATCATTAATGTATAAAGTGAAAAGTTGTGGTCCCAACATTGACCATTGTGGAACACCACTAGTCACCAGCTGTCATCCTGAGAGGGACCCTTTTAACCCCACTCTCCGCTTTCTGTTGGAGAACCAACTTCTATCCATACTAGCACCTTGCCTCTAACACCATGGGGTAAGATAGTACTCAGCAGCCTCCTGTGTGACACCTTGTCATCGGCCTTCTTGAAGTCCAGGTAGGCAACATCTATTGGCTCTCCTTGGTCTAATCTGCTTGTTACTTCCGCAAAGAATTCTAACAGATTTGTCAGGCATGACCTCCCCTTGATGAAGCCATACTGACTTTGCCCTATTTAACCATGCACTTCCCAAGTATTCAGAAATCTCTTCCTTCACAATGGACTCTAAAATCTTACCCATGACCAAGGTTAGGCTAATCGGCCTGTAATTTTCAGTCTTTTGCCTTACTCCGTTTTTAAGCAGGGGTGTCATGTTAGCGATTTTCCAGTCCTCTCAGACCGTCCCTGACTCTAGCGATTCCTGAAAGATCACCACTAACGACTCCATTATCTCTCAGCTATCTCCTTAAGAACTCTGGGGTGTAGTCCATCTGGTCCTGGTGACTTTTCCACCTTCAGGCCATACAGTTTTTCTAGCATCTTCTCCTTCATGATGGCCACCATACTCAGCTCTGCCCCCTGACTCTCTCAAATTTTTGGAATATTACTCATGTCTTCCGCTGTGAAGACTGAGGCAAAGTAATTATTCAGTTCCTCAGCCATTTCCTTGTTCCCCACTATTATCTCTCCAGGGTCATTTTGCAGCAATCCAATGGCCATGTTTGCCTCTCTTTTGCCCTTTATATATCTGAAGAGACTTTTACAGTCCTCCTTTATACTACTTGGCTACCTTACCTTCATATTTAATCTTCTCCCTCCTTATTTTTTTTTTGTCGCCCTCTGTTGGTCTTTGTAAGCTTCCCAATCCTCTGGTTTCCCACTGCCCTTCGCCACATTATATGCTTTCTTTTTCGCTTTTATGCTATCCCTGATTTCCCTAGTCAGCCGTGGTTGCCTAATCGTCTCTGTATCATGCTTCTTTTTCCTAGTGTTGAATTTCTGCTGTGTCTCCTGAATTACTCCTAGAAACTCCTGCCATTGCTGTTCCATTGTCTTGCCTGCTAGGCTCCTCTTCCAGTCAATTTTGCCCAGGTCCTCCCTTGTGCCTCTGTAGTTGCCTTTATTCGGCTATAATACCTTTACCTCTGATTCTATTTTCTCCCTCTTAAATTGCAGAGTAAATTCAATCATATTATGATCACTGCCTCCCAAGGGGTCCTTCAACATAAGCTCCCTTATCAAGTCGGCCTCATTGCACAACACTAAATCCAGTATTGCCTGTTCTCTTGTGGGCTGCACCTCAAACTGCTCCAAAAAGCCATCTCGTAGACATTCCACAAATTCCTTTTCTTACAATCCCCTACAAACCTAATTTTCCCAGTCCACCTGCATATTGAAATCCCTCATGATGACTGTAATTTTGCCTTTCTTACATACCTTTTCTACGTCCTGATGTATCTTGCGCCCCAGCTCCTGACCACTGTTTGGAGGCCTGTACATAATTCCATCTTTGGTTTTTTTTACCTCTACTGTTCCTCAACTCTACCCACATAGATTCTACACCACATGAGCCTGCTTCGTTTCTTACTATTTATTTAATTTCATTTCTTCCTAATAAGGCAATACCACCCTCTCTGCCCACTTGCTTATCTTTTCAATAGGAGGTATATCCTTGGATATTCAGCTCCCAATCCTAATTCCCTCGCAGCCATGTCTCCATGATGCCCCCGTGTCATATCTGCCAACTTCAATCTGTGCCACAAGCTCATTTACCTTCTTTCTTATATTATGTGCATTCAGATATAGCACCTTCAGTCCTGTATTAACCATCCCTCTTCTCATTGTCACTAGTTTATCCGGTGTGCTTGAAGTTTGATTCCTAACCCTTTCAAAACACTCTGTCCTATCTGTCTCTGTGCTGGAGACTTTAATAACCTCTCCTGCATTCTCCTTTCCCCTCATTTTTTCATATTTTTCCACACAGTGCATCTAACCCTACAGATGTTAACCTATTGCTTTGTTCCCTTCTGGGGGAAGTTTTACCCTTCCCTTCCCACCCGCCCCCCACCCCGCACAACCACTTTCTATTTTAAAGTATATTCTAAGCTAGCATTTACTGTCATTTATTGAATTTAATATCAAGTTCTATTTGGGAACTGAATCTTAAACATACATGAAAATTTGAAATAAAAGTGACAGTAAAGTTTGAATAATAAAGTAATGAAAAACAATTGCGGCATAAGTACTAAAACTGAATTTAATTGTCCCAGTTACAAACTGCAGAGTCATACAGACACATAGGTTTCTACTGAACAATAGACGTTGCATTTCTCAATATGTACACATTGGAGAATGACCCACAAAGCACTTTCTTAATAATAATAACATTTCTTGTATCAGGCTAGATGCCAACTTGTATGTAAATGAAAAACAAACCAGTTCGTCCAGAGCACTTGAAGTACAAAGTTCGTTAAAACAGGCTTAAACGGAGGCTGAAAGAACACACGCGCTGGAATAATCCATTTTCTAAAAGATGGTTAAATGCTTCTAATGAGGACTAGGAGCTGGAATAACAACAGTTTTTTAATCTTGTGTTTAACAGGATTGTATTTGCACAGTAAGTAACTAAATTTTTTTTTTCATTTTGAACAAGGACTGTTTATCATTTAAAAGGACAGCCAAACAGCCTAAGGGCAAGGAACTATGTACAATAAAAACCAACTGTTTGAGAAAGTCAGCAGGTCTAGCAGCATCTGTGGAGTCAGAAACAGTGTTAATGATTCAAGTCTGATATGACTTCTTCAGGACAAAAAGTTTCAAAGAGGAATCCTATTGTGTCTGTCTCCACAGTTATGCTACACCTGCTGAGTTTATCCAGCATTATTTTATTTTCAGATCTCCAGCATCTTCAGTATTTTATTTTAATAGATCTTTTATAATGTTAGCCAATGCGGGAGGTAAGTAGTTGTGCTGATTTCCAGTTGAGAAAGAATGAAGTCAAAGAGAGATCAGAGAGAGGTGGGAAGATTTGAATTTTTGCTTAAAATAAACAAGGGGAAGAAGTGGTATCTGGATTGAAGTTCTCTATCTTGGGAACATAGAAATTTGAGTTTCCCATGCTTGCTAGACAGGAGGATGGGAGGGGCATATTGATCAAACCCATTTCTGAAGAAGGGTCCCGACCCGAAACATCAACTTTCCTGCTCCTCTGATGCTGCCTGATCTGCTGTGTTCCTCCAGCTCCAAACTATGTTATCTCTTGTTCAAATTTAACTTGTTTATTCCTGTTTAGAGAGCAGATTTACCGGAGGAAATTAAAGCTAAGTTGAGTTTAAAGTGGTGCAGTCAGATTAAATGATTGATCACTAAGCTGAAGCAAAATATTATAGATGCTGGAATTCTGAAATAACAACAGAAAATGCTGGAAATTCTCAGCAGGTGGGGCACCACCTGTGGGAAAAGAAATCGTCCTAATGGTTGGAACTTTCCTGATATGCCATGGATCCACAGCTGGGACCAAATTTGGGTCCTGAGCCCACAGATGTGTACAGTGGGATTGTGGTGGGTTTTTTTCTACCTCTACTAAGCAGTTAACAGGCAACTGCAGGGACCACTAGCTAACTGGGGACAACAGCCCTCCTCTCAGAGCTGCCAGTCCAAACAAAGGCAGAGGTAGCTCAACAGTCTCGGTGTTATCACTGGTATTGGAGGATGCTGCTGAGACTGCAGAGAGAAACAGAAGCCACCTCCATGTCTAGCAGCCTGTGAAGGCTGACAAAGAGGTTGTTAAAATACACCAGGTTAGGTAGGCAGGCCCAGCAATCAGGGACGTCAACTCTCCAGTTCAGCCTTAGCAGCACAAGAGACAGTATCACTATGGAGGAGTCTCTATGAAACATGGAGCCTCTGGAAGTCTGCCATACTTGAGATGCCACCAGGATGCTGCCTCAACTTACCTGGCAGTTTCCCATGTTTGGATTATGGTGCATTCTGTCACTTGGAAAATGGCCATTGCCTTCTTGGGAATATTCATTAGTAATGGGATAGCAACTGCAGAAGCAATCTTCCCACCAACAGCTTCCAATGCCATTTCACCAGAGTCTACAGGGCTGAAAAAAATCTCAGCCAAAATTTCAGGTTGATATCTTTTTGTCTAATTGCATGTCAGATATGCTCATACTCAATATGTACTCTATGATATTCCATCTTTATACAACTAATATCTACAGCAGTGCAGAAATATCTTTTTGAAAGAGCCAAAACATACCTGGTTCCTTAGCTTCATTAAATGAGAGTTTAAACTATGACAGGGATCATGCATTACACTTGGGAAAGTAAAGAACAATTATCAATCTAAAGCAAAATGTCATCATAAATTTGCACATACTTCACACGGTGATGAAACAAAAGGTAGCCATCTGCTGCACCATTTCCCAAAGCATGCAGCAAATGGTGGGGTTAAAATTGAATCAGAGATAGTAGGAACTGCAGATGCTGGAGAATCCAAGACAACAAGGTGCAGAGCTGGATGAACACAGCAGGCCAAGCAGCATCATAGGAGCAGAAAGGCTGACGTTTCGGGCCTAGACCTTTTTTTCAAAGTTACCAACCTGTTTCAGCAGTGGATACTTGGGTATATGCCTTAGCAAATGCACATTAATTTCATCCTTGAATATTCATTTTAAATAGCTTGCACTCTGTTTTAAAGTAGTATTGTGTCATTCGACAGTGATTGCAAGGTCTTTTGAATGCTGCAGCTAAGCCAATTAGAGCAAAAAGCATGAACATAAAGAAACCAGTGAAAGATTTAACAATTTAAAACTTTTTCCAATAGTGTGGATACAAGTACAGATTAAATTCTAGTAATCCTGAAGTGAGTGGCTCGTCACTGCACTCGCTAAAGCCTGTCCACTAAAGGCAAAAGATTACTGGACAATAAAACTCTGATCTCTTCACTTCAACATGTTAGATCATTGAATCACCATATAAAGGTCGTAATGGTTCACCAATTAAAATTACTTCATCTAATGTAATTATTTAAGCCATTATTAAAAACACTTACTTTTCAGCAGCAATTATTCTGCCAGTATAAATTTACCCAAAAACATTTTGAAATTGTTGACTCTAATGTCAGATCACTTTCCAAGTAGAATTCAAAAGTAACCCTATGTGTTCATTTAAAAGCAGCTTCTTCCTTATGTTTAAAATATGACAACTTCATAATCCTTTGAATTATATATCAATTCCATAAAATTGGTGGACAAAGCTTCTGCACACACCTCCTTCTTCTCCAGGGGTCATATTGTAGAACATCAGTGATCATAGATCTCCAGCTTTCACAGTTTTTAATAACAGTCAATATCTTAGTATTGTTCTAAAATCTTTATATGTTCTGTTTCTTAAAATGTTGGTATATTTCTTTTTTCCCTCCCTATTGTTTTGCCAGCCTCATGTTCTAGTTTTTCATCTCCTAAGTACACATCCAAGGAATTGGTGTAGTCTTTTAGTAATAACTGTAAAGTTCTTCTGGTATGCCTCACCTTTTCTCAGCTGTCCTGTTAATTCTCATGTCACAGAAAACACATCTCTGTAGGTTTTATCTTCCACTGTCTTCCATATTGTCATGAAATTGCACAAGCTAGAATATAGGAACAGATTATAATGTGATCGACCTTCTGATGTACACAACACACAGACTTCTTACTGCCTGCTAATTTAAATGATAGTAGTTTGCAGCCAGGGTTCAACCTGTGCAAATCATAACAGGCTAAAAATTAAAGCCAGCCTGCACTACTCAAAGCCAATCTATATCTTTCAAAGGGGAGATGCAATGTGTCTCTGGAGCAGGTTCTGGAAGTTGTTCGTAAACTGATTTTGACATGGGAATATCAAATGAAAGGCACATTGTGACAATGAGCAGGTGCCAAGATTTTCCAATACTGCACTGGATGCAGAGAAGGAAAGATGTAAACATATCCATAGATGGTCACCAGACCCTCCAACCAAGCTTTGCAAAAGCAATTTGACCAGGCAGTTATGATGGTCAATGCTAGGAGTCTAGCCCTGAGGACCTAGATGCAATGTTGCAAAATGTTCGACGATTTTGTATGATGGTCAAGGCCTGTTAATATATCTTCAAATGCCTCATCCTGTCAACTGCTAATCTCTCACACTATTCAAAGCACATTTCCATCACTCACCAACTGACAATCTCTATTAATCACAATTCCTATCAAACATAGCTTTACCTCACCTTCATGCACTTAGCACTAGTAGAAGCCTTAAACCCATGTTTTATAGCTTGCACACACTGGCAGCTTTTGAACCATGGCCACCACATCACATAAGCATATCACACAACCTTCACTATCACACCTTTAATAGGGCAATTTAACATATGACCTGGAGTGGCAGAAGCAAACTGGCAGGGGACAGGTATGGCTGCAGGGAGCTTTCACAATGCATACATCCTTACCACATCATAGGTGCTGCAAGTGTTTGCTCCACCTCATCAGCTACAAAGTTGGTTTCTTGGGTGACAGGTGATATGCACGGAGACCCAACACAGTACACAATGTGCAAAGTGCAGTTGAGGACAGCTACAGCGCTGCCCATCCCTTAACAATAGCAACAATAGAGTATACTAGGGAACTGCTCAAGATGAGGTTCTGTTGCCTGGAAATCTCAAATGGAGCATTTCAGTACTCGCCAAAACTAATGTCCAGATTCATTGTGATCCGTTGTGTACTGCATAACCTTGCTTAGCATTGGGGTGAGGAATTTGCAGGGAGGGAGATAAAGGAGACAGATATCTCCTCTGAGAAGGTGGAAGGGTAAGAAAATGCTGCTAATAAAGGAATGAATCCTTTGGATGCAGCAACAAATGCCAGGCCTCAGTTTAATATGACTAACAGGCCCATGACATTATCACTACCAGATTTGAGGATTAGTGAAGTACCACAATATCTCCAAGCCATTAAGAGTTATCAACCTATTTTGGCTGAGACCTGGCTTTCCCTAATGAGCATTGTGATTTTTGGTTCATTGCATTGTTCTCTTGTTCTCATGACTGCATTATATTTTACAATTCCCCCTTAATAATGTAGATAAGTGATCCTGTGTGTGGGCCAATTTGAAACAATACATATCTTACTTGCGTTAAATGTCCTTCTCAGACAACATTGTGATATCTGTGCCTGCTAGGATGCGAAACTACCCGCACAACACTTCATATTCCCATATCTTGAACACCTGGAAGGAAAATTGCTGCAGACTACATCCCAGAGTTCTGAAGCAGATAGCTGAGGAGATTGTAGATACCTTTCAGGAATCACTGGAGTCAGGGAGGGTCCAAAAAAACTGGAAAATTGCTAATGTAAATGTGTATAAGAAGGGAGAGAGGACAACACAGGAAATTATAGGCCAATTATCCTGGTCTTGGTTCTTAGTAAGATTTTACAATCCATTATTAAGGATAAAATTGTGGATTATTTGGAAGTGCATTGTAAAATAGGATTGAGTCAGCATGGCTTCATCAAGGGGAGGCCATATTTTTACAAATATGTTAGAATTCATCAAGGAGTTAACAAGCAAGTTAGACAAAGGAGAGTCAGTAGA